AAGTAGTTATTACTCTCTTAGTAGTTATTACTCTCTTAGTAGTTATTACACTCTAAGTAATTATTACGTTCTAAGTAGTTATTACTCTCTTAGTAGTTATTACTCTCTTAGTAGTTATTACACTCTAAGTAGTTATTACGTTCTAAGTAGTTATTACTCTCTTAGTAGTTATTACTCTCTTAGTAGTTATTACACTCTAAGTAGTTATTACGTTCTAAGTAGTTATTACTCTCTTAGTAGTTATTACGTTCTTAGTAATTATTACTTTCTTCTTGCTTTCAGCTTCTTTCGTAAGTCTGCCAATAACGAAGTTTTGATGAAAATGATATGTTTGAATTTAGAAAAACAAAAACAGAAAACAATTCACTTAGTTCTCTAATATTCGTTAGAGCTTTTTGGTTAATAAATTTTCAGCTTATATATATATATATATATATATATATATATATATATATATATATATATATATATATATATATATATATATACATACATAGTCACACACACACACACACACACACACACACACACACATATATATATATATATATATATATATATATATATAGAGAGAGAGAGAGAGAGAGAAGGTAATAAATCCGTTGGTATGAAATCCAAGTGGATCCTAGTAATAATATTAAAACTGATCCAAAAAAAAAGCGCACTGTATTTGTTATTACAGAGCAAAAGTTAATTCAGAGCCAAGTTGGAGTAATGGATAGAGGCTAGGATTGAGGAATCGGAGAACCGAGTTCGAATTTCAGTCGAATTCATTACATTCACTTACGTGCCGGGGAAAGATATGAATCGTCTTCTTCTCCCCTACCCCAGCTATGGGCAAATAGCAGGACAGACCGGGGTTGCAACTGGTCTGCCGCGGGAAAAAATTTGCTTCGTCAGTCATTCAACGAAAGATACATGATCGCCTAAGCGTGTATCATGCATGGAACATAACTGACTGACTGAAATTAATACACAGTGAAATAAAACGAGGTGATTTGGGATCTTATTGATTAAAATGAGCTTATTTGGGTTTTTTTTTATTTTATATATATATATATATATATATATATATATATATATATATATATATATATATGGGCGTTTCAAAAATATTTTTACAAACTTTTTGGAGCGGGTTCCTCATATCAAATCAAGGAAAAGAGTCCAGATAAACATATATCCATCGCTTCTGAGTTATTAAGCTTAAAGTTTAACTTGTCGAATGTGTTCGTCATGGTCAGGCGTACGAGAGGGTTTTGCTCTTCCTCTATCCATAGTTTGTGTTTACCACGGATCCTGTCTCAGCGACGCAGCGGTAAACAGCAGCAAAGTTTGGATGACACGGTGGCCTTCGGTCTGGAAATGCAACATGATACAGCCATGCAGTCTCGCGCCCATTACTATTCACACGACCGTATGTAAAAAAAAAATCATATCTGCTTGTTCACGATATAAATACACTGCCATTGTTAAACGGAATACTACAAAACACGTTAAAGGTTGAAGAGAGAATAGAGAAAGTCCTCTGCCTACTCCTCTTCCTCAAATCTGACAAAACATAAGATATTTTTCAAGACTCTTCTTCGTAGGGTTCAAAACATTTTTACATGTATAAAATGTATATTGTTTGGAGCTGCTATGTCCTGCCTCTGTGTAAATAACTATTCAAAGATGTAACAAAAATTCATGTATTCATTAATTACCTTAAAGAATAACAGAAGGCAAGCCTTGATGTAGAGGCCGGCAAGTTTAATTTAAAAAGAAGTGAATTGAATTCTTAGTAACTGTGCCACGTTAGACCTCGTTGATTGTTATTTTTTTTAAATTCATCTAATTTCGGATATCATTCTCTGCCGGATAGGAGGACCCTCCTGTAAAGTTTCGGAGGGGTGAATCCCAGAAGTTCGCGTTTGTATAGTGAGTCTGTGTTGGGAAATATACCTATGACTGCGTAGCATTCTTTGAATTGACTTGACTTGACTTGACTTGTATCGGTTTTCACCCTGGTCGGGTTGAACCGGCTTCCTTCCGAGCAAGTACAGCATCACGGACCATCGCAGCCCACGCTCGCCGATCCTGAGCCAAGTCACACGAAATGGCGAGTCAATCGCGATTCCATCGTCGAAGACCAACTACTTGTGGACCCGATACTACTGCTAGGTCATCCTTGATTGTGCTAGCCCAGGTCCTCTGCTGCCCATCGACAAGCTTTCGCCAGCCAGGAAAAGAAGGAGGGAGAAGTACATCGCCGATGAGCTCTCCCTCCGGGTGTCGAGCTGCGTGCCCGAACCATCGGAGCTGCAAGGTGCGCATTTGTGCATCTCAAGCGGTCACTATGGGGGCGACGGGAGATTTCCACGGCTACGAAGGGGAGCATCTATCAGGCTATTGTTCGGACTATCCTTCTTTATGGCTGCAAAACGTGGCCACTTAGAGCGGTTGACCTACGAAGGCTTGAAGTGTTCGACAACGATTGCCTTCGCTGCATTCTACGATGCCGCCGGATCGATCGTGTGCCCATAGCCACTCTACGTCGTCGCCTGAGTCTCTATCCTCTTCCACCCGTCCTGCTCCAGAGTCGTCTTCGATGGTTCGGGTACGCAGCTCGACGTAGCATTTGAGCTACTTAAGTCGTTGAGTGTTTCTAACCAATCATAAAACTTGTTACTGACATGATTTCAACGGTTCTTGTTAATTTTAACGCCTGTAAAACGAAACTGTTTCCTATTAATCATCTTAAATAACTTTTTTTTCTTCTGCCTTCCATCAAAGTGGTTGATGTTAATCTCTAGGAGAGCAACTCACGCGCCTTTTTTGGTCTCACGTTTTCAACAGACATGAAGTGGAATGATTATATTAAATCAATTACTTTTATTTATATTTTCCAACTTGCTACATTTTGGCATCTCCAATTCTTTGTTTGAATCTTGGCCTATTCCTCTTTCTGAGAATCATATATTCTGTCTTTTTACAATCACGGTTTTAACTTCTCGTCTTACAGTTTCCATTCTGTGTCTGCTACCAATATTTTGTCTTCTGCACATCTTACGATACGGTAGGGAAGAAAATAAGGAAAGATAGTTCAGTCTTATTTTAATAAGTTTTAAAAGTTTGTTTTTATTAATAGATAATTATATTATTTTTGTGACCTACGGTGGCCATTAATAATTAAGTATAACACAAGACTTCAACGTTAGGATAAAACAGTATTTAATTTACAAGAACAAAGAAGTAAACGTGTAATAACTGTATAATAATTCTTCACCAACCATATAATAATCGTATAAGTATTTTCCCTCCACCTCACTATAATTTAATAATGTTTCCTCCCAATTTTTATAATAATCATATAGTATTAACGAATTTCTTCTTCAAGGGTATTGCAATAGTTCTATAATAATAATAGTTCTTCTTTTCTCGTATATTCATCCAAAAATTATTTACCATAGGTATAATAACTTTATATTAATTCTTATTCTCAAATGGTATAATAGACATTCTCCAACCGTATAATAACTGTATAATATTCCTTCTCTAAACATATAATTTTTGGACGTACAGTGGCCGTAAATAATTAAGTATAACTTCAATGTTAAAATAAAACAGTATTTAATTACAACCGCAAATAAATAATTAACAAGAAAAAACAAGTAAAACTCAACCAAAGATAATTAACCATTTCAGTGAATACCTTGTTAGTAACGCGGTTCGGCTTAACGTCCGGTAAATCCTAAATCAAAAAGCAAATCATCGATGCATAATAATTCACTCTAATTCGACTGGATAGTTCCATCAAATAGTCACTGAATAATCACCACAGTCAGTAGCCTGATATCGTTATTTAAACACCTGGTGGAAAACATATATTTATAAATCCAGAGTGTCACGTTCTAACCTTGGCGTCGGTAGTTACTCATTTTCTTCCTATACAAACATTATTCACATGCGGGCTATTGTGCTCAACATTATGATTATTATCCCGTTGTTTCGAGCGTTCTGCCTTCCAACCTTTATCAGGTGCTTGTCGATACCGATGACCTTTAGACAATAGCCTAATCGATCAAAGCGTTCGCTCGTGAATTTGATGATGCAGTAATTGAGTTCAATCCCCAGGACGAGCAGGGAAGACTTCACCTCAGTGGAAACTAAGCAAGCAATAACCGAGCGTTAAAACATCTAATAAGATATCCTTTGGCATGGTCAGCGGAGCAAGAACAACTTGGCCCCGTAGATTCAATAAAGGGATTAGTTCGAAATTCTCTGAAGTTTGCCTGGATCGACAAGTAGCTGATGAAAGCCGGAGAGCACAACGGTCAAAACAGAGTGAAAAGATGGAAAAAAGAATAGATCGTATACATATAAGGTTAACTCTAGATCGACAAAATTCATATATATATATATATATATATATATATATATATATATATATATGAATTTTGTCGATCTAGTTAACCTTATATATATATATATATATAAAAGAAGAGAGAAACCGCAAACTTTTTGGGTTGTAATGTGGATTTTTAAATTTTAATTTTAAAATTTTTTCGATATATGTACACATATACGTATACACATATACATATACATGTGTGCGTATGTGTATGTATATGTTTATATATGTGTATACTAATTCTTTATCATAAGAAAGTATGTATGTATGTATGGAGAGGGAATATACGTATACGTACGCATGCTGACAAAAACACACATACACACACAAAATGGAAATAGATCTAAGAACACACAGGGGTCATTAAAAGATAAGAATATAGATATCTTTTCCACCCTTTCTCGGACCAATCTCAATTGTTTTATTACCCTTCATGCAGAAGAACTTTTTTCACTGCCAATTCAAGGAAGAATATATATATATATATATATATATATATATATATATATATATATATATATATATATATATATATATATATATATATATATATTTATAATTAAACAAATTAAAAGCCAGGGGCCATAAATGTAACTAGTGTGAAGACATGCTCAATAATTTCTTCAAGGTAAGTCAGGCTTAACGCCCAGTCAGGTTGAAACACCGGTTGTAGTACGATCATTTAAGTTAAGCAACGTCGATCTTGGTCAGTACCTAGCTGGGTGACTGTTTGGGAATACCAGGTTGTGTAAGCTTGGATGCGCTGTGTAATGGATAAAGGCTCAGAATTGGAAGTCGAAGAGCAGCGTTCTAAATCCAGTTGGGATCGGTATATTCACTTCCGCGCGAATGTCTTTGGGAAAGGCATGAATCCACCTCTTGCCCTCTAGCGTTATGGGTTAATTAGTAGCGTAAATCTTTTTTATCTCCCCAAAATTCTTACAATCCGAAAATATCTTACTTTTAAATAACATTTTGAATGCTATTTAAATATCCTTTAAAAGGTTGATAAACCGTAAAGGAAAACCAATCAATCAACGCAAGCGGGTTGGTAAAAAAATGGTTACGTATGTTCTCGGATTTATATAGTGAATTATAGTGATTATATGGTGCATTTGGTTTGGTATGATATAGTGATTATATAGTGAATTCGGTTCGGGCATCGATCATAATTTAACATTCGACCTCAATAATTTGCTTTCTATCTCCCATATAGTTTATTTCCTTTTGATTTTTTTGCGACACTTAAAACATGACTTACGATTGCCTTTTAATAGACAATGTTTTATTATAGTTTCTGTTGCCAACGGTCAGCTGTTTTAATTGCTAACGTTATATTTCTAAAGAGCCTGCTGACGTAATCAAAAATCGTTGGGTTGGCATAACCTAGAGGCACGTGCTTCTTTAAAGAACAGAAGCAAAACAAAATCGAAACGAAATAAAAAATAAACCCGGTTTCAGTTCTTTTAATGGGCGAATTCTCTTTGTCATAAAATGTATGTAAGTGTCAAATCATAAGCTTCGGCAATAGAGTCCACACCCTTAAAGAATATTCAATGACTTTTTTTTTCTGATAGGAATTTCGTTCTTTCTTTCTTTCTTTCTTTCTTTCTTTCTTTCTTTCTTTCTTTCTTTCTTTGCCATTTCTTTTGTCACATGCTGACATTAATCATATTTCGTAAAGAACTTCGCCTTCTTTTTCTAAATTTCCTTTTGTTAATCCATATTCTCCAATGGAAGACCTTCCTTCATTTTCGTATTATGGAAAAAAAATATCTGCTACATTAAAGGTACAACTTTGCCATTCCAGTAAAAGAATAAATAGAGACAATCTTATATGATTAAATCATTCACAGGAGAGAAACTTTGGAAAATTCTAGGGATTGTCAGTTCCAGCTATTCTTCTGTCTTGACAACGATTTTCAAAATTTGCAGTTTTGAATATATGTATAAATTTAGCGGAAGAGAATACTAAACGTATTTTGACGAGATTCTTGACTACGGACATTTATACAGTAAATACATCTATGCGACACCAGTTCAGACAATATTATTGTTGTTGTCATTTGCTAAGTTTCGTTTAATATTTGGCACAAGGTTAAAAAAGTATAGATGCATTTCGTTGATAGTAATGAATAGTGAGTCCAGTTTGCTACGAATTACCCGCTGAAAGAGAGCAAATATTGCCCGGACGACTTAACCTTAAAATACCTGTTATGATGTTGATTGGGGTTAGTAGAGATAAACGCCAAATAACACGTAACAATAAAAAGGGTTTTAATAGGTTGGTAAAAAGGTACAGAAATCGCCTGAGTAGTCAATAACTAGCTCAGCTAAGAACTTCTCTGTCTATCTGTCTTTCCCCCATGTCAACTGACATGCCACTATTTAAAGTCTTTGTTCACAGACGCAGACAAGTTCATCTACAAAAGGGGTGGTAGGTTTCCGACACAACAATACCGAAGAAGTTGTTTGCGATTATAGATATGTTGACAAATTGTTTCTTTCCTAAAGTGGTTTCACTGAGAAGGGAGTGATCATTTAAATGAAAAATATGCAGCATTAATTTTCTGCATATATTCAGGCATTATATATATATATATATATATATATATATATATATATATGTATATCTGTATATCTTTAGTTTACTGCTACCAGTAAGCAGAAATATTTCTTCTCCCGATGATGGCCATTTTGGCTGAAACTAGTCAAGGAATCTAAATGAAATAATAATAAAAAAAATGAAAGAATATTAATCTACAACCCAATGTGTCTGAAGATTTTAATTTTTTAATATTTTTATTATTCAATATATATATATATATATATATATATATATATATAGTATATGTAGGCTAAAAAAATATACATGCCCGCACGTAAAATTGCACGTACGTATAAATATATTTCTTCCACGGATGTTACAAAAAAAAGTGCTCAATGTTATGAAACAGAGCTATTTGCACTCGAAGATTGCAGCCACTGCATGAAACTCTGAGTCATGCTATTGACGTTGGACATTATGTATCTCATATATATATATATATATATATATATATATATATATATATATATATATATATATATACAGAATCCTAAAAATCTATCAGTTCAGGTTATAAATTTATTTCGGGGACTTTACATCCATCTCTTCAGACGAATTTTTCATTAGGTCGACGAAATAAATTGATATCCTAACCTGATGAATTTTTAAGGATTCTGTATTCATGATTATATTGCTCTGTTCTTGCATTGAGCTCTCTTTGGAGCTATATCCTCCTTGGAATTATCCCTACTAATCATCAATTGATATGACATGCATAAATACTTATATATATATATATATATATATATATATATATATATATATATATATATATATATATTAAACGTGATAAACTTCTTTAAACTTTGTTGCTTTTCTCTGAGACTACCTGCCATTGACGGCGAGAGACCTCATTCTAATATGATATTTAAGATAAAGCTGACAGAATCATTATTAAAGAGAAACGTTTTTATCAGAGTATATTCATCTTAAGTGAATGCCTCACGCTCATTTACTTGTGCCAGACTATAACATTATTTCAAAAGGATTCCACTGGTTTTCAGACTGGTTTTCGCTTTATCATTTATAAGATTCAGTCGTTGTTTTTTCATCACGCGGGATGTATTTTTTTTTTTTTGCAGTAGTAATATTTTTGTAGAAGGCCCGCGAGCCACTCAAGGTAGAGGGTTACGGAATAAGAGTCAAAGCTTATGCGGATATATGTAGATGACAACGGTTAACCTTAGACATGAACAGGTTAAGATTGTAGTAATCGGAAAAACAACTGTTCGCGAGTCGATTCCACAAGGAAGCGGGATTGTGGGAAGAAGGTGCTTGACTGGAACATACACCTCACCAGGGGAATACGAAGGAAATGAGGGTGGTTCGTTAAAATGCGTACCGTATGGCAGGTCTCCGTCGTAAAGGTTAGGGCTAGTGGAACTTAAATTTGTGCATATAAACATTTATATGCACAAAAGATGAGCATCATCTATCATGTATTCTTTAGTTAAAAAAAGAGTAATTTATTTTTATTACTTTAAAACTCACAAGAAAATTATATTTCGGCTTTAAATGACCCATAAGGAGTTTATATATCGTTAAACAAACAAATAAAATTAAATTAAACCGCATGAGAAAAAAATGGTTGCGAAGCCATATGACCATGTTGCAGGTAGTACTGGGATACTTTGCACCAGTTGCACTCGTAGAATCATATGACATAAAACGACACAATTGAATATAAAGTGACCAATAAATAACTTCTATTTCTCGATGCGATCATATATATAACATTTAGGCCAACACGTAACCTACACGTTAGCACAGATGTTATATATATATGGTCGCATCGAGAAATAGAAGTTATTTATTGGTCACTATATTCAGCTGTGTCGTTTGATGTCATATGACTCTACGAGTGCAACTGGTGCAAAGTATCCCAGTACGTACGTTCTGTTCACAGATGAAATCAATTCTGAAGTAATTTAATGACAGTAGTCAAGAATGTCGAAGCTACGCTTGTACAAATATCTAAGTACACAGTGGCAGGTCCAAGGATTGAACTCGGAATTAGTCTCACTAAATTCACAAACCAAGGCTTTAATCTACTAGTATAATGTTCAATGTAAATAGTGTAAATAACCATTGTTTTTGTCATATATTCTATATATGTATTTCTTTATGTATATATTATTTTTATCAGGCTTTATATATATATATATATATATATATATATATATATATATATATATATAAAAATTAATTGATTTAAAATATGGTTTTTTCGCTACACAGTTCTAAACATGTTTAAAAAATGGAAGCTAAAAGCCACGAATTTAATTTCGTGATTAAATTAAAAGACATTAGTTCCATTTCATCCTCAAGCGAATTTTCCATTTTGAAACATGGTTAAAATGTGTGAGAAAAAAAAACATATTTTAAATCAATTAATTTATAATGTTAATGCTCTGTAAATTTACATTTGAGCACTATTTTGTAAAAATAAAAATATCTATAAGAACACCGGATTATATATCTTGCTGTTCTTTCTTTTTATTTATATACATACATACATACATATATATATATATATATATATATATATATATATATATATATATATATATATATATATATATGGAATCTATATGAAATAATAATAAAAACGAAGGAATAATAATATACAACCCAGATTTTCATTTTAATTTTAAATATTTTTTATTGTTCAATATATATATATATATATATATATATATATATGATTAAATATAGTTTTAAGATATGCTTAAAGTGCTCAATATACGGGATAGAGCTTATGTAAATATAAAAGTGGACATTGAATGAAATAGGCAGGGGCTGTTTCATGCTGAACGTAATCTTCAGGCTGTCATTGACTTTTGCATGAAACTGACTGTCGCCTCTGGTTATTGGCTTCAATATCCACTTTATATATATATATATATATATATATATATATATATATATATATATATATATATATATATAAATATTTAATATTTTCGTCTGCTGAAATAGCCTATTCCCCATATGACGTGATTTTGGATTTTATTATTTATTAATTATTTGCTCTGTAAATATAAATATATTGAGAACTTTTTGTGGAAGAGGTTTTAATATTTTATATTACTAGGATCCACTGGGATTATATACTAACGGATTTGTTGTCTTTACTATCTATCTATCTATCTATCTATCTATCTATCTATCTATCTATCTATCGTGTTTATGTGTGTGTGTTAGTAGAAATGGAAAAACAGCAATAAAGCCTTACAATCTATGACTCTAATGCTTATTTTGATCTCACTGCTCGTTGCTCAGTTTTAGCGTTATCCCAGCTTACGTTAATCTAAAACAATTTCGAATATAGACTTATATCTGCAATGCTAGAAACGAAATCAAGCAAAGTGTAGACAAATTGTAAGACATAGTTATTAGCGTACCATATTAATAAAAAAAGTAATCTTGCAATACTCACATATTACTTTCAGTCTATATTGTTTTCTTTTCAGATTTGCGCAAGGTCTTCTGGGACGGCACTACGGCCGTTAAAAGTTTTGAAAGCGTTTTTTTTTTCCCTTTTTGTTCTGTTCGTATTTTTGTAAAATAGTTTTTTTTTATAGAACGAATTACATATCCACTTTTATCCTGTTTTTTTTTTTTTACGTTTTAAATGTTATTCCAGTGGTTGTACATTGTGTCTCTGGATTAAACTCTAGTATTAGTGATGATGATGATGGAGATGATGACCGTTTCCCGTTGTTAACAGTAACGATGTCAGAAGTAAAGCAGTAGATAGGTCTTGTGGGAAATGCCTTCACAAAGACAGTTATCACCTGGAAAACAAAAGAAGAAAAATATAATTGATAATGGCGGGCAATCATTGACACTTACAGTGTTAATCATAAATACACACGGACTTTGTTTTATTTTTTTAGTTCTTTTCTTTCACTTTGTTGATCTAAGAAGAAAAGAAAATTCTATTCAAAGCAGAAGAAACACATTTCTTGTATTCTTTAATATCTATTGTATTCATAAGTTTTTGTAGACTCTCACTGACAAAGATTCGCTTGTTTATACAAAAACATACTGGCGTCTAGCTTTGGCGCGATTGTTTTCACGATCGTCTCGTAAAACAATTCGTTTCGTTAAACAATTCGTCTCTTAGAACAATTAAAGATTTTTAACCTCAGGGCTCCCCTTGAATATATGACCTTAAACCAAACCTATCTAGTTGCACAGTAAGCTATATTTGCTAGATACACGTGTTTCAGTAGACGTATTGCTTTTTAAACATTGTACATTTCCAGATTTTTAATAAACGGAAATGGGTTTAAGACAAGGATGTGTCTTCTCATTGGACATATTCAACCTATACAGCGAGGCGATTTTGAGAGAATTAGAAGTCATACCAGGATTCATTATTGGCGGACACAAACTTAACAACATTAGGTATGCAGATGACAGTTAAAACTACAAAAGCTCCTACGGAAGATAGTGAAAGAAAGTGAGAAGGATTAAACATTAACTGTTAGAAAACAGAATGCATTGTTGTCAGCAAAAGGATGGGCCCAGAGTGTGAATTGAATACTAAAATGAAACAGGTACAAAAATTTAAATATCTAGGAAGTGTTTTAACAGAGGACGGAAAAGTGCAACACTAAAAATTGAAGGCGTGTTGAGATAGGCAAATATGCTTTCCAAAAGCTAAGTAGAGTACTGAGAAATAGAAAATGACTTCTCTAGAAACAAGGGAAAAGAGTACTAAACTGTTGTATGATATACGATCTCCTGTATAGCAGTGAGTGCTGGCCAAAGAAGAAGAAGAAGAAGAGACTTGAAGCAACCGAAATGTGGTTCTACAGAAGGATGCTGAGGATGCTATATGCCGAATATATGAGCAACGACGAAGTTTTCCAGAAAATGGAGACAAAAAGGAAAGTTGTGCTTAACACCAGGAAGAGACAGTTGAAATTTCTAGGGTACATAATGAGGAAAGATGGCTTGGAAAATCTGATACACAAGGGATAGATGACGGCCTGACAGCAAACCACTAGTGGTAAACGTAAATTGGTGGTTTGCGTGCAGAAATTATTCTCTGATATCATATCAGTAAAATTTATCATACATATAACCATATCCTGTCTGCCAATACAATGTATTGTACATTATAGCCTTATTCCATCTGTTACCAAGGTATATATGCATGTTGTGTAATAGATAGCGGATTGAAATGAGAAAGCGGAAAGCAGAGATCGAATTCTGGTCGGTTTCATTACATTCACATACAAGGCAAGAAGGACAGAGGAAAACAACGCATAGCATACTTACTTGGGTAAATGGATGGCGGAACAGAATTTAGGAGAGATAACAGACAATATTTATTAAGATAATGTCTACAAAGTACAGGAAGTTTTGGACAGACATAATCGTCTACATCCTGAGATGACACGGAAGAAGTATCTTCTTGAAATTCCTAAACAAGGTTACCTCATCGACTACTTTTACCGAAATTGCGGTCTTATGTTAAACCTGAAATCCATATAAGTCAAGCCAAACAATAAAATTCAGTATTTTACATTTTCGTGTATCTGTCATAAGAAAATAAAGGTACTGTTAAACGTCCAATATATTGTGTCTAGATAGTTGCTGTCTACTCCTACCACTCGTACACGCAAGCCACTAGTAGCCCTCTGGCGTGCCGGCGATGGCAACACCAGCGGTCCTCCGTTAGCAGCCATCAGCGGGCCACTAGCGGTCAGCCATTGGTAACATTGCCGAGACAAACATGTTGGCGACCCGACAGCAGACCACTAGCGGTAAACGCAGATTGGTGGCGTGCGTGTAGGGATTACTATCTGATATCATATCGGTAAAATTTATCATACATATAACCTAATTCTGTCTGTCAATAAAATGTATTGTACATTAAAGCCTTATTCCATCCCTTAGCAAGTTATACGTGTATGTTGTGTAATAGACAGCGGATCTGAATGCGAAAGCGGCGAGCAGAGTTCGAATTCCGGTCGGTTTCAATATACGCAAATACCATTGGGAAAAGTTTGAATTCATCTCCTACCCACAAGTATGGGTTAAATAGAGGGATTCATATCTGGAACAATCACTGTTGTTATGGAAAAAAACCGTTAATGCAATATTCACTTGGCAATATATATATATATATATATATATATAGATATCCTTATAAACCAAAATATGTTTCGGTTTTAAATAACACAAAAGGGTTGGTAATCCGTAATAAAGAAATCAATCAATTGCCAGATCAATCCGCTTGTCAGTAGAATGCATTATAAATAATAACCTCTTTCCGTTTGTCAGTTACGATGACATAAATAAATGCGTATTCTTGCGTTGTTGCAAATTGGAAAGCCTGCGTGAGAGAACATCGCTATATAAAGAAGAGCATAAATGATACAATATTTCTCATTATGTGTACAAGCTTTTACAGAAATACGACTTCATAATACAAATGCATTTTCTTCACTTCTGTATGCAAACGCATGTACAGAATATGGCAGTTTTTATTAGGCAACTCAATGTTTTATACATTTAATAGGAATAGATAGGTTTGCTTATCGCTTGCATCAAACCCTCCCCGGTCTTTTGAACAGGAGTACAGGTTTATCCCTTGATTTCTGTTTAGGATTCTGTTTCTGGTTTCTTCTAAAGTAAGCTTCAAATTCTGTACTTCTAACATATGCGCCTGGAATTTTATTCACTATTTATTTCATTGTTATTTTTTTCTTTCCGTCACCAAAAGAAGTAAAGGGGTTCGCATATCGTCCGGTTCACACACCTCCCGGCCGTCTTAACAGGAGGAGATGTTTATTTCTTGTTTCCTATTTAGGGTTGGGTTTCTAGTTCCTTCTAAAATCTACTTCAACTCTCTACTCCTAACTCTTGTCCTTTTTCTACGGTAATATAACATCCACACAGTAACACTCTAAAAATCTTTTTTCTAATTAAAGAATACATTTGAAAAGTAAAATAACTCAGGATCTACAGTAAAACTATTTATATTGACTTTCTCTATTAAAATTATAAATGTGTGCGTGCGTGTGTGTGTTTGTGTGTTACTATTAGCCTAACATATATATATATATATATATATATATATATATATATATATATATATATATATATATATATATATATATATATATATATATATATATATATATATATATATATATATGGCAAACACTTCGATGTGGTGTAATATTTAGCAAATTTGTAACTCTAGATCAAATACGACTTAAAAGTGAGTTCGATCCTCAATGAGTGCTGCAAACTTTCGGCCTTGCGCCACATCTTATTTATGCTTAAAATCATGGGAACTTCAACGTTGTTAATTCTTTACAAGCTTTTTTTCACTTCATCAGTTGGAAGTGCTCCACAGTTTCGGCCGAGTGCCGCATCTCAGCTAAGCGTAGAAAAGCATGGGCACATGGAGTAGTGTGGTCAGCAAACTTGTCTCGCTAGATTAATTATGATTAAGTAGTGAGTTCGATCCTCAGCCTTTTACCGCAATTAATCTACGCTGAGTAAAATCACTATATCAGATATTTGTTTTCTAGCATTGGTGATTATTATGCACAATAGTTCAAAAGTTTAGACCCAACCCCCAGAATTAGCATGGGATGAACTTGAAAGCATAGTGAAACATTTCGATCCAAAAAATGAAAAAAGACCTCTTAGTCATTGAATAAAATTTATAATAAAAAATCCTGTCTCACTTTTTGCAACCATGTATAATAAATATTTAAATAATTAATTGTAAAGTACAAAAGAAATAATTAATATTAAAGTACAAAATTATTATTTTCAATTTAAAAAATTACCAGGGGTTTCCTCAAACTTTGGAACTGTAGTGTATTTTTAAAGTTAATTCATCGCTAATATATTTACTATTGAAAAATTTTTCAAAAATTTTCATACAGAAATTCAATATAAATAGTTTTACTGTAGATCCTGAGTTATTTTACTTTTCAAATGTATTTTTTAATTAAAAAAAAGATTTTTATTAAAAATAACAAAGAACTGACTGCGCAACGGCCATCTATTTATGTAATCGTCACTGACAGACGGAAAAAGGCTATTATTTATAATGCATTCTACTAACAGGTGGATTGATTTGACGATTGATTATAGATTAAATAAAAGTTTGAGTTATTTGGATCATCAAGCACTTAACAAGGTCGGAGTATTCAGGATCCGAAACGTTGGGATAATAACAACGAATATGAGACAACAGTATATTTTTTTTTTACTAATATTCACAAAATACAAGGCCCAAGTGCCACTCAAGTTAGAGTGCTACTACGTGGAATTATATTACCGTAGAAAAAGAACAAGAGTTAGGAGTAGAGAGTTGAAGTAGATTTTAGAAGGAACTAGAAACCCAATCCTAAAGAGGAAACAAGAAATACACATCTCCCCCTGTTTAGACGACCGGGGAGGTGTGTGAACTGGACGATATACGAACCTCTTTACTTCTATTGGTGACGGAAAGAAAAAAAGAAAAATGAAATAAATAGTGAATAAAATTCCAGGCGCATATGTTAGAAGTACAGAATTTGAAGCTTACTTTAGAAGAAACCAGAAACGGAATCCTAAAGAGATAACAAGGGATAAACCTCTACTCCTGTTCAAAAGACCGGGAAGGGTTTTGATGCAGGCGATAAGCAAACCTATCTATTCCTATTAAATGTATATAACATTGAGTTGCCTAATAAAAACTGCCATATTCTGTACATGCGTTTGCATACAGAAGTAAAGAAAATGCATTTGTATTATGAAGTCGTATTACTGTAAAAGCTTGTACACATAATCAGAAATATTGTATCATTTATGCTTTTCTTTATATAGCGACGTTCTCTCACGCAGGCTTTCCAACTTACAACAACGCAAGAATACGCATGACTGAATAAATGCACTTATATATGTATATATAGATACCATTTCTGACGTTCTTTTTATTGTCTGGTTGTCCTTGACCTGCTACTGGAATAAACCACTGAATGTTCTTTATTCTTAAAGCAAAGTAGACGACATCAAACGATCTCTGCGCACAAGAAGCCCGAACGGGTGCTGCGTGGATATGACGTTTGCGGAGGTATCAAGCGAACTTACTGTGTCACAGAGGCGGTGCATCAATGGACGGAAGAGAAAAGGGAGGTAATCCCAGCAGACAGTACAGGTGTTTGGTGATTCTGGTCATTGGAAAGAATTGTGAAAGGAAGGAAGAATAGAAAAAGGAGGGGAAGAACCCGGAAGGATTAGCGTTTATGACATGAGAAATATGGGGAAGAAAATGAAGAGGAAGGGCAGTTATAAAAGAGGAGAAGGTGAAAGTTTATTAGAGAATAAGTATAAAAAGACAGAGATGGGGGAGAATAAATTTATTGCTTTATTTCTTTTAACCCTTGACTGCTTCAATCGCCCGGTGGGGCTGAGGAAAAAGATATTAATACATAAGCGAATGAAATGAACTATAGGAGAGATTGATTTATACCTTTAACAATGTTATTAGCACCTTAGGGAACGTAATGAACTCGAACGGAATTCGAACTTCGCTCTCCGATACTTCAATCCGAGTTGTCCTTCTTTAATCCGAGTTGTCCTTCTTTAATCCGAGCTGACCTTCATTAATCCACCTAGCCTCCGAATTGTGCTGTAGTATAACGTCTTTACAAAGTTTTTTCAGATCAGTGGTTAAAAATAAATTCAAACGAATTCATACTGTAAATCCTAAAAAAAAAAACGGTTTTTCTTCGGACATTATCGTGACAGACAGAGATATTTAACAGATATCAAAAACACTACCAACAATCCCAAAAGCAGAAAAAAATTGCTAGCATATATAATTAGATATTAGATAATGTAATTAGAGTTGTGAACTTTTCACACTACCAAAAACAAAAGGTTTAGAAGGTAACTCTCAACAATATTAGAAACAACAGTAACATTATGTGACTTCAGAAATCTAATTTCCTGAAAAGCTCTTTTAATAAAAAAGATATTATAAATTTCAACCGGCTTTAACGAATGAATACTGTTTTTTTTTCTGAAAATTAATTTCGCCATGACAGTTTTTTTATGCGTTTCACCCCAAACAAGGCGGGAAGCCACTTGGACGCAAGGGGTTACAGAAGATTTGGAGCAAGATCATATAGGAAAGATGAGGAGAAGGATAGTGGGTAGATCAAAGCAACTGGAGATGTCGATTGACATTACATTTGAATAGTTGGAGATTGTAGCTCTCAGGGAAACTGGAATAGGGAAGGGAGTTCCACAGACGAGATGTGCGAGATATGAAGCTATTGCAGTAGAAGGGACGGTTACATTTAATAGTTTCGACAGTGAAAGGATGAGAGCGGGATCCCAGCCTCGTAGGGCGCTTGAATTCATGAAGTCTGGGAACCAGCGAATGCAGCTACTCTGAGCAATTACCATGAAAGTATTTGTAAAACAGACAGAGAGAGGCGACGGCGCGTCTGTGAGAGAGCGACTGTAGACGATATGCCAGAACAGGGCCAATTACGTTGCATATCCGTCTCTGGATCTTATCAAGAACCCCGAGGCTAACGAAGATGTAAACATTTCTGTATATGTAACATGTTTTCATGTTCTCCAAATCAAAGGATTTCTCACTGCCGTTGGAAGAAGCGTTCCCTAGTTGACTGCGTCACTTCTTCCTATTTCTGGCCATATTGGGCCAAGTGGTGCGAACCTATAGGATCAGGGTCGCACCATCTTGCCTTTTATCACCCTCTAGTTCTTTACCTCTACCCTGGGGCGTACTGCAGCTCCACATACTGTCTCAGACGAAATACGTGACCAACACATCTAAGTTAACTCTTCTTAATAGTCTAACCACGCGGTAAATATCCATGCTTGTTGATCTTGTAGAAAGTCAAAATTTTGTATAGGTCAGCAAGTGAGGACCAAAATCGCTGCCCAGTTAGGCGTTAATGCCGGTTGAAATTTATGAAATAGAACAGCGGTCTGGGTTCTATAGACTTGGGTGGCAACCGGTCTAGTTGAAGGTAACATTCTGAAGCCTGTTTCAACCACCTTGTAGGTCCTGTATCTTTAGGCAAAAAAGAAGGTAACTTCAGAAACAAATCCACCTCGAATGCCGTCTCAAAGAAAGGAACTGGATCCCCGCTATTCGAGCTGCAACAGAAAATAATGGACTCCCTTAGAGACAATGTTTTTGAACAAACACAAGACGAGATCACGGTAATGTGCCGTGAAGCTCTCTGATTTCGGACCATTCGTCCATAGTTGTATCATCCAAGCCACTTTAGACGATTTCGGTATTGTCTTATCGTTAGTGTTATTAGATTTTTTTTAAAATCAAATTTACCCCAACCAAGCAAACAAGGCTGTAAAAGTTAGTTTTGTGACATAGCAACCTTATCCAGCTTGTTAAATGCCGAATGCCATCGTTTTGATAAATAACAGGAAGGTCGATATAAGTTGTATTCGCACGAGAATCAAGGTAAACACAGGATTTTTTTGGCATAAAAGACAACAAGGGTAGACGCTTGCTTGGCTTTCAGAAGGGTCAAAAATTTAGACGTAGGTTTGCTTTGTACGCGGGTCAAATACGTAGGCTGCAGAGAGTTTAGGTTGCACGAGACGAAAACAGTAGAGATACTCGCGTATCATGGGACCTTTGAAGATTTAATTTTGAAGCTAATCTGATTACTGTAAATGGATATAGAGTTTGGTCAATGGCGTCGACAGGGCCAGGAGTAAATACGCTAATCTTATACCTCGTGGACGATGTGACCCACTTAAAATTAGCTTCAAAATTAAGTCGAATGGTAACTGACTATATACGGTATGTTTGATTTGAACGAGGACTAAAGATGTACACATGAGTTTGGTTTGCGTGAGAATCAGAAAAGGTAGACATAGGCCCGCTTTGCACATGAGGTAGACATAGATTTAGCACACATGTGAGTTAAAAGTTACACATACACCATTGTGCAAGTTAATTGAAACAAATCGAATAATACTGTTATTATTTACTTTTATTCGTATTTTCCCATGACCCAGTGCACAAGTTAGTACTTCTTATGTTCATTCCACAAAGCCGTTCCTTGCAGATTGACCACAGATTCTCGATTGGATTTAAAGCAGGAGAATTTCCAGGCCAGTCTATAATACTTTGATTTGCTCACTGGTAAGGCTTTCTTGTTTGTACAGCATTACAGTTTTTGTGAGCTTTCTTAGAGCAACGTCCATCGGGGGCAATAGCCGTAGGACAACTAATCGATAGAGGAGACAATAGTGTCTGGACGTGATAAAAATCTGATGTAATCACGGATAACGCAATATTTACAAATTTCATCTTACACCCCGAAAATAGATGCATATTACTGCACACTAGTTAGTGCAAATGAACTAATCTGAGAAAAAAATAGAAATCGATTACACCCTGTCACTCCAGTGGGTCTAAAACAAACCCTATATTGAAAGAAAGTAATTTGCACAAGGGTGCATATCTTCTTTTGTACGAGAATCAGAAAGGTAGAACTTAAGAACAATAAACACTGTGGTGCATTTTTCGGTGGGGTTAATCCTCTGCACGAAGATGCAATCGGAATATTATCGCCTCCTCCCAACCGACATGGCGTTTTTCAATCAAGGGGGACTGCACGAAGGGAAAGCTGAAGGAAAGCCGAAAAAACAATGAGTTAATGACTAAATACATGAATAATGTTCGAATATTACTGGTAATTGTCTTAAGTAATCAATTTATATGAGAGTGTTAAATGTCAATAAAGAACAGGCAAGAAACATATATATATATATATATATATATATATATATATATATATATATATATATATATACAATATTTATATCTATGTATTATTGACGAGAGTCACAAACTAAAAGTTTTCCGTACATTGACTTGTTAAAAACTAGAAAAAGAAAAATTCGAGATTTTTAAAGTATGACTCTTTAGTTAAGATAGAAACGTTTTTCACCTTTATTGGACTTGCTTCAATTAAATTGTGTAAAAAGCTTTTAGCGCGTTTAGAATAAGAAGAACCTTTTTAAACAGACGGTTTGATTTCTTTCTTTTTTTTATTCGAGGATATTGATTGATTGTTTTTGGAGAGTATTAAATTGGTATCGATTTATTGACTGAACAAAAATCTTTAGTTCAATTTTGCTGATAAGAGGAGGGAAATGATTCGTACAGATTGAAAGCTCCAGACAGAAACACAGACGTGAGGACACACATTGCTAAAAAAACGAAAAACAAACAAAAAACAAAAGGTCTTGCAGGTTTCTTCTCAAAATGATAGATGAGAAGACTGCTGGTCATGAGGTCTTCAAACTATTTAAATTCGAAGTTACAAACAGATCAAGATTTGTAATAATCAAAACATGAAAATATAGAGCTGCTACCAGAGTTCTTATAATAAAAATACCTTCTTTTTCTTTGCGCCGTATCCTTTCAAGGTGTGGATCATGGCTCTCCACAACTTCCTATACATCATAGCTCTGAACAATATTTGTCTTTTTACTATTTTTCCTGCTCGCCGTTCTACCATCAATACACGTAAGCTTGTCATGCAGATTGCTAATTTCCCCTGTGTTTCGTATCTTAAAGCTTACAGCTATATCACTTTGAAACATTGCTCCTCATTCGATCACCAGAGTTAAGGAACATCGAAGCTGGTCAGTACCTACATGGATGACAGGTATTTTAAGCTTGAATGTACGGATGATGAAGCGGATAATGACAACGAATTGGAAATCGGAGAGCTGAGTTTCAATTCCAGTCGGATCCGTTATATTAACCTGCGCGCAAATACCCTAGGGAATGGTATGAATATAACTATACTCTCCCAGCTATGGGTTAATTAGTAGAAGTTGTATCAGTAAATGATTGTTATAGATATAGTTATAGCCACTATTTTTAACAAAGCATTGCGAACCTGATTTGCTAATGGAATCATCTGATGGTAGATTAAATTTCTAAAACTGAATCCCTTATCTTCAACAAAGCAGTAACCATGTAGATATGGCAAAGATAAAATTATCCGTTAACTTATAAGAATTGCGCCTCTCTCTGTCTGTTTTACAAATACTTTCATGGTTATTGCCCCGAGGAGCTTCATTCGTTGGTTCCCAGACGTCATGAGTTC